CAGGCAGTCTTCCACTTGAGCTGTACCCTCCCTTCCTTGCTCAGTTTTGAATTGGATTGTTTGGGGTTTTTGTTGATGAGTTTTAGGAGTTCTCAGTATATTGTCAATATTAATCCTTTATGAGATATATGATTTGCAGATGTTTTCTCCTGTTCTGTGGATTGCCTTTTTTACTCTGTTGATATTGAATTTAATTCACAAAATTTTAAGTTTTTCATGAAGTCAAATTTGTCTGGTTTTTCTTTTGTTGCTATGCCATATCTAATGTCATGAAACTTTTGCCCTATGTTTTCTTCTAAGTGTTTTATAGTTTTAGATCTTCCATTTAGGTCTATTTGAGTTAGTTTTTGTATATGCTGTTAGGTAAGAGTCCAACTTACTATTTTGCACATTAATGTCCAGTTTCTCCAGCACCGTTTGTTGAAGAGACTGTCCTTTCTCCGTTGAAAGGACTTGGCACCCTTGTTGAGAATCATTTGACCGTATATGCAAAGGTTTATTTCTGGGTTCTTTATTTGGTTCCATTGGTCTATATGTATGTTTTCATGCCGCCGCCACCACACTGTTTTGATTATTGCAGCTTTGTAGTAAGTTTTAAAATTGGGAAGTTTTTATTTTCCAGCTTTCTTGTTCTTTTGGGGGATTCTTTAGGGTATCGGGGGTCCCTTGAGGTTCCATATGAATTTTAGGATGGGGTTTTTACTTCGGCAAAAAAAAATAAAACATTGAATTTTGATATTGGGTTGCAAAATGTGACTGTAGATCAGTTTGGATAGTATTGTCATCTCCCAGTCCATCAGTGACCATAGGATGTTTGCATTTATTCATGTTTTCTTTATTGTCAGCAGTATTTTGTAATTTTCATTATACAAGTCTTTTACTTCATTACCTTGTAAGTTAAGTTGTCAGTATTTTATTTTTGATGCTATTATCATTGCAAATTTTTTGGTAATTTCCTTTCTGGATTTTTCATAATTAGTGTATAAAAATGCAACTGTGTTGTCTTTTGTATCTTGCTATTTTGCTGAATTCATTTACTGGCTCTAAGAGATTTTTTGTGTGTGGAATCTAGGACTTCTACGTATGACATCATACCTGCAAGCAGTGGTGATTTTGCTTCTTCCTTTCCAATTCGGATGCCTTTTATTCTTACTCAATTGGCTCTGGCTAGAACTTCAAGTACTATGTTGAATAGAGGTAGTGAAAGTGGGCGTCCTTGCCTTGTTCCTGACTGTTGAGGAAGAACTTCCGTCTTCCACCACTGAATACATTTGTTGTGGGTTTTTCATACATGGCTTCTGTTGATTAACATTTGATACATGTTATTTAAGTATGTAACATTTTTATATTTTATGTTAGTATGTAGTATTTTATATATTGTTATTTATCTATTTTTATACACATTTCTTAGTTGGATGAAGGTATTTCTCTAATAGACCCCTCAAGAAAGGCACATGAGTACAATACTCCTCAAGTTCTTGCATGTTTAAATCTTTCTGTAGCCTCATACTTGAGAGTTCGGCTAGATAAAAAGGTCTAGGTCATTTGTTCTTTATTTGAATTCTTGACGTTGTTGTACTACCATCATTTTATTTGCTTGTTACTGTCAAGAACCTAATTTAATGTGTTTCATAAGAAATGTGAGCTTTTTTTCTGAAGTAATAGTGAGTTATTTCCCTATAGATTGAAGTCTAATAAATTCCTAGGGTATGTCCCCAAGTTGACCCTTCTGGTAATAGTGACCTTTTCGAACATGTTGATTGACATTTTTATTTCTGGAAAGTTGTCTTTGATTATAGTTTCAAATATTAGTTTGTTTCTCTGTTCTGTTTTTCTTGAATCTTTTTCCTCTTTGTTTGAATTCCGGCTCTATCACTAAGGACTGTATAAACCTACCCCATGTCTATTTCATCAGCTGTAAAATAGAAGTCATAATAGTGCTAACCTCATATGGTTTAAGTAATAAGTTAATGCTTGTAAAGGTATAGAACATTGTAGGAACACAGAAAGTGATGAATGCATGTTTATTATTGCTTCTGTTGTTACCAGCACCAAAAACAGAGCTAATGCAGATAAAATAGTACTTAGAACAATGCTTATTACCATGTTGCCTCCTGTAGTTTTTTTTTTTTCTTGTGCCTTTGTAGTCAGTCCTCTCCTTAACTCATTTTACTGGCAACCACAGATCTGCTTTCTGTCTTTATATCTTTGGATGTTTCTTTTCCAGAAAACCATATTACAGGTAGTATGGGGTGACCCTTTGTGTCTGACTTGACTTCACTTAGTGTATTATTTTTGAGAGTCACGTGTTGTCACATGTTTTAGTAGTTGGTTACATGTTCCTGCTGATTAATTCTGTTGTATGGATGTTCTATGCTTTGTTTTCTGGCTTTTGGCAATTACAAGTAAAGAGGCTATAAATATGTGCTTGCAGTTCTTCATATGGACGTACATTAGTCTTCCTCCTGCATAAATGCCTAGGCGTGGGGGTGCTGCTTTTATAACAAGTACATGTTTAATTTTATAAAAAGCTGCCAAATGGTTTTGCAAAGTGATTGTCGTTTTGCGTTCCCTCCACCAAAGTAGGAAGAGTTGCATTTATCTACTTTGTTGTATCACTAGCACATAGTTTGTTCATGTTTTTAAAATTCAGCCATTCTAGTAGGTATATAGAAGTCTCTCGTGGTTTTAACTTGCTTTTCTTTAGTGACTAGTTTTGATTATCTTTTCATGTGCTTATATCCCGAAGCTGCTCTTCTGTGGTGAAATGTCTGTTGAGACCCTTTGCCCGTGTTTTGGTTTGGTTTTTTATTACTGAATTATGAGTTCACTGTATATTCTGGAAGTAAGTCCTTTATCAGATATTTTACCTTCTCTCCCAGTCTGTGGCTTGTCTTTTAATTATTTTAACAATATCTAAGAAATTTTTAATTTTGATGAAGTCCAATTTATCATGTTTTTCTTTTACGAATCTTTCTTTTGGTGTGTCATCTAAGAAATCTTTGCCTACTCCAAAGTCACATTTTCTCATGTGTTTACTTCTAGAAATTTTAGAAAATTTAGATTTTGCATTAAGATATGTTACCCATTTCACGTTGATTGTGGTCTGTGGTACAAGAAAAGGGCTGAGGTTCTCTTTTACGGGAATGTTGATATCCCATTGTTCGAAAATCATTGTTGAAGTGACTCCTTTCTCCGCTGAATTACTCAACTTGGTAGCCTTGTCAGAATAGGTTGCTAGATGTGTGAGTCTATTTTGGCATTCTTCTGTTTTATTGAGATCTCTGTGTATCTATCCTTAGACAGTACACCATGTTGTCTTGAAATCAGGAAGCATGGGTGATTTAACTTGTTCTCTTTTTTGGAATTGCTTTGGCTCTTCTTAGTCCTTTGCTTCATGTAAATTTTAGAATTGGCTTATCAACATCTACCCAAGCCAGCTGAGATTTTTATGAGAAGTACATTAAATCTACAGACAGTTTGTATAGAGTTGTTATCTTAATATGAAGTCTTCTGATCCATGAATGTGGTCTGTCTTTTCATTATTTGGGTCTTCATTTATTTCTCTCAGTTTCTACTTTGATTTTTCTAGATTATTGAGTTAGTCATTTGCGATCATCTCTTTCTAATACAAGCACATAAAGGTATAGGTTACCCTCAAGCACAATTTTAGCTGCACTGCACAAACTTTTTTGAAAAATAATTTGAGTATCATAAAATTCACCCTTTTGAAGTGTACAGTTTGGTGGCTTTTATAATTATGAATAAAGTTGTAAAATGATTACTGCCTTGGAATCTCACTTTTAAATTTTTCAATATTTTAATAAACTCCCTTCCCTATTCACACTTTAGAATAGGACCCACCTTGTTATTTTACCACAGGTAAACCTTAGCCTTTCTTTCAAAATCAGCGTGGTTTCGGGGAGTAGAGCAGAGTGTATTTTGTCATACACGTATACTAAAATATTGCATGCAAAGCAGTCTTTCATAGTCTAATAGAAGTCAGTCTCATACATCTGTTAAGTGGTGGGTGTCACCTGTATTTGTTTTAGTGTGCTAATAGAAGCCCATTTTAAAAGTAAAGAATTCCGTGAAATAAGCTCTGTAAAATACTGTTAAGTTTGAATTTCCTATCAGTACATGGAAGTAACTCTCGTAATACAGAATTGCTTGTAATGGGATTTACGTCTGTCATTTCTTTAGTACACTCACTGGATTCACCTTAAACATGACCCTTTGCTCTTGGCATAAGTATTTAGAGCTTCTATTTCTAACATTTTGAATTCTGTTTTCTGAAGACGCTAATATATTTTGCTTTTACAGACGAACATATAAACTCTTATCTGGGAATTATTTCTTGATTAGTATTTTAAGACAATAGAGATTTGTCAACTTTCTGAACCTTCATTTATTGCAAATTGTCTTTCCAGTTCAGAATAATTGAGAGTTTTACTGATATATCATTAGGTCTTCTAGAAATTAAGAATATAAATTTATTGACAGTATTGATTGTGATATCTGAAAATTTCTAGATGATTATAAGTTTTCAAAAATGGATACTCAGAATTATATATGAGTTATAGATGATCACATTCAAATGAAGAAAAACTGCAGATTAAAGCGTTATGTCTAAGTAAACCAGTTATATGAAAATGTCGATTTACTTAACACATTGATTCTTAAAAATCTCAACTTGTTGATATTAATCATTTTAAGATAGAAAATACAACAAATGGAAAAATATAATGTGTTCCTTTTGAGATGATTCATTTTACTAAAGACTACACAGCTACAAAGAGCTGTTCCTAAAATGCCTGGCTACTCTCAGTGTTATAAATGTGTGTATTAAGTGGATTCAAAAATCTGTGTAACCTCAGAACTTTTTTTTTTAAATAATCTTCACTTTTTGTAATACAAGTTTACTAAACATTTACCATTTTTTCATTCAGCAAAACATTTATAAACATTTTTATTATATCAGATGCTTGTTTGTTTTTTAGGTAAAATCTGTAAAAACTGGGTCAGTGTTTTGGACAATGTGCTGCTGCTTGTCGTATTTCTATATGGTAAGATTTCCTATTTGAAGCCCCCTGAGGTCTAACAGGTGTGTGGCAGCTGGACCGACTCCTGCTCTCCGTCATTCTCTCTCAGCCAGGGCTGCTTCTCCACTCCCTTTCTCCTGCCGTCTTCACCAGCTTAATTTTTGCGAAACGTATTCTTTAATTACTGCCCCTCCCTTTCGTTGTATGGACTTTTAGTGGGGAGGGCTATACTTAACCCCTCAAATAGAATGTTTGCAGCAAGTGAAACAAAAAATTTTCAAATGACAGCTCTTCCCAAATAATGGTCCCATTCTCTAGGTTAACCTGTAAACAACGTACGTAATTTTTCAACAGATTACTGAAGATCGGGGTCCAGTGTTACCTCTTGAATCTCCTGCATTTCTTTTCCACAGCACAGCCTATTTAGTAGTCTTGTGCTGAAAATTAATGATAAGCTTAGGTAACTGTGTTTTGTTTTTTAAACAGACATCATGGGATTTGTGCATCCAGATGATCCGTGCCCCTTTTAAAGCAGTTGAAGGTTAGGGCACATGCTGTGCAGTTGTACGCAGTAACAGCAAACCCTTCTCTTTCAAGTTTAGACCTAAATTTTGGGAAGAACCAGAAGTCCTTCAGTTAGGCCTGAAGTTCAATCGGAATAATGTTTTTGGTGAAAAATAGCATGTAACTGAAGCAGTAAAACTGATGTTCTTATGTGAATTGTAAACTGAAGACACTTTCTTAAAGTGGTTCTGAGATATTTTAGACAGGGGCAGCATTGTTAGAATATGTGTATTAGCACACAGTCTCCATGGTTCTTTGAAGCTTTTAGTTATTAGAGCACATGGAAAAACTTTGATCTTGACAGACCTTTTGCATATTACTGAGTGTACTTAAAAAGTAATAAATTCTATTGGTAAATTCTGTTGGTTTGAAATAAACATAATCTTTAGAGTCTTTATTGACTTAGACTAGAACATACCTGATTTTCTGATAATAGAATTATAACTTTGTGATATAGGCTAAACATTAAAAATGGGATCTTGATTTGTAATCCATTGGTAGGAAGTAATTTATACCTTAAATAACACCTTTTATTTTGAGGCTCTCGAAGCATATCCAGATCATCTGAGTATTCCTTTTAGTGGAGTTGACGGATGCTAATATCCATTGTTCTTATTCTCAGTGAAGTTTCTTGCAATGTGTTTATCATCAAAAATGGGGGGAGTAGAAGCTTTTTTTTCTTTTAAAAATTTGTGATATATATTCTTAAAGTGTGTATCTCCATGACAGTCTTTTCATTGCCAATTCACAAATTATAATGTTCTCAGTGTTCTTGATAAGTTTAATTTGACCATTTCTCCAGTGAATGTAGAAAAGCATATAGGATTTATGGGATTGTATTAATTTTAAGTATCAATAAAAATAAAGGAATAGGTTATTTGCAGGTTATATAAATCCATTTTTAGGTATCTCTCAGAATTGCAGAAAATAATCCTAGTGTTTATATTTGTTTATTATGTTTAGATTAACATGAAAAAAACTTAACCTGTTTTAAAAAGCAAATATGTAAATGATTTAACTTAGAATTTCTTTACTCATAGGTCTCTGCTTGGGGTGGTTATGTGTTTATTATCAACCTTATTCCACTACATGTATTTGTGTTATTACTAATGCAGAGATACAGCAAGAGAGTCTATATAGGTAAGTAGCTTGATTTTGATACTTGTCAGCTTCTAAGAGGTGTTTCATATACATTCTTTTCATTGAACAGACATTCCTGTTTTGGCCAGTACTACCCTTCAGGAGGTGAAAATAATTTTACATTTATTTTGCATTCTGTATTAATAAGAAGAGTCAGGCGTTTTTACCTAAGTTGTTAGCAACTTCCCTTTGACGAGTTTTTGTTTTGTTTTGTTTGTAGGAATTAGTGTAGACTTGTCAACCATTTTTTCTTTAAACTTAGGGGAATGGACATTCACATATACGCGTTATTCAGATTCATCTTAATGTCAGATATTGAGCATTCTTTATGGTTTAATAAACTTTTGAAAGTTCTTTCTGTATAGTATACAACAGATTGTCTTTACTCCATTTGGGCTGCTGTAATAAAACACCACAGACTGGGTAGTTTATAAACAACAGAAATGTGTTTTCTCACAGTTTTGGAGGCTAGGAAGTCCAAGATCAAGGCACCAGAATGGTCACATTCTTATTTGGGCACTTTTCCTGGTTCATAGCTAGTACCTTCTTTATCCCCACATGGTGGAAGGGATGAGCAAGCTCTCTGGGGCCCCTTTTTAAAGGATGCTGATGCCTGAAGCCCTCATTACCTCATCACCTCCCGAAGGCCTCCTCCTAATACCATTTCCTAGGGCATTAGGTTTTCTACAGTATGAATTTGAGGGAGACACAGACATTCAGATCACAGCATAGACTGAGTCTTTTCTCTGCAGAATTTTAATTTGCTGTACAGGTTTTAAAACACATCTTTTGAGTAAGATGCTTAGCAATAGGTGGTGTCTCAAATCTTAGAGCTCATTTTCCATGCTAGAGACAGAGCTTTTATAGATTCAATTAATCAGAGAGAAGTTGTGATCTGAAATCAATATTTTAGTAAAGTAATACAATTCCATAATAATAATGTTGTTGGAAAGCAGTAACAGAAAGACATGAAGCTTATTTACTTGATTAAAAAACAGTAGTTTGGCAGTTCCTCAAAACCTTAAATCATAGAGTTACTGCATACAATTAAACTCCTAGTTACGTACTCTAGAGAATTGAAAATGTGTATTTACACAAAAACTTACGTTAACAGCAGCATTCACTATTCATAATAGCCAAAAAGTGAAGACAGCCCGATGTCCATCAGCTGACGAATGGATGAAGTGTGGTATATGCACACAATGGAGCATTATTCAGCAATAAAAAGGAAGGAAGTTCTGATGCATACTATATCGTGAGCCTTGAAAACATTATGCCAGACATAAAAGGACATATGTTGTAGGATTCTTTCTGTATAAAATACCCAGAGAAGGCAAATCCATAAAGGCAGCAAGCAGATAGGAGACAGAAAGCAGATTTAATGATTGCCAGGGGTTTGGGGAGTAGAGGGATTGCTAATGAGTGTAGGGTTCCTTTTGGGGGTGAGGAAATGTTCTGGAATTAGTGGTGATAGTGCTATCCACAACTTTGTGAATTTAGTAAAAATAAATAAATTCAGTGGTGCATTTTGAAAGGGCGGATGTTTTCCGTGTTGATTATATCAATTAAAACCAAAAATTTGTAGTATATAAATTACACTTACAGCCATTTCAGCATACTTTATAACAATCACCACTGAAATAGCACGTATGTATACATCAAGTTCATATACACCACAGACTCTCCTAACTTCTTGTATTTTAACTCACTTAATCTTCATAATCACATTGTGAGGGTAGATAGTGTTACTACCCTCATGTTAGGGATGAGGAAACAAGAGAAGACATAATCTGCTCAAGATCGTGTAGCTAATAATAGAGCTGATGCCTGAACTTAGATGTTTTGGCTCCATAGCCCATGATGCAAAAAGTTACTGTAACTTGTATGCCTGCCATATAAACAGATACCTTACTGTTGAAATACAGCAACCTGTGATGCCTCTTTAACCTGAAAACACTGTAAATAATCATTGGGACCCAGAAAAGAAGATGACAGATTAAACAGTAGCTCTTGGCTTTTTGTTTTGAAACTGTTACAAAGGGAAAAAAATTTTAAAGTTAATTGATTATGGGGAGGAACTAAGAGTTTCTTTGTTTAATTTTAAAAATTTGGGGTCCAGAAGATGTAATGTTAGGGAGAAGATTGAAGGATAGACTTGTGGAATGCCCCTAAATCAGGCAGAAGAAGAACTAAAGGAGAGTCACAAGTGACTGGATAAATCCACTGTTAGAGAGGTCAAATGGGAGTATTTTCTTCCTAAAGTTTAAAACATGAACAGTGACCAGCTCCTTGAGTGTTAGCACTAAGATCTAGGAAGTTGACCATAGAGAGAAGACTTGCAGTTGGTGAGTAGATTTGTCTCATCACTTTAGAAAAGCGTACAGTTAATACTACTTTGGTTGGCTTTTGAGAAAATAAGAACTATTAGACCTTTTCAGAGAGTGGAAAAATAAAACGGGTTAGGGATGCTGTGGATGTGTATTCAGGCAGATCAGTAAATATCCTATGTAATTTTGTAGTGTACAGATTGTCCACCCCACCCTCCATGTTTCTGTTTAGTTATCAAGGGGCACCATCTAATACTTTTAAATTATATTTCTCTGTTGTTTCTTTCTGCGATACTATCCTTGATTTCGTTTTAGGTATCAGTGTGAAATATATTTGCTATTTTTAAAAGTTGCAATTAAGTGTCTCTCCACTCAAGTGTTTTGAAAAGTCACTTCTTGCTGCTTTTACAAATAGAGCTTATAAAATTCTCTGCATAGTTTATGATGAGTAAAATTCCCTACGTAGTTTATAATGAGCAGCGTCCTTGAAGAAGAAAAATTCTTTTTCTCATTGTGCATATCTGTTAAGTTAGTCATTCTGTTTTCTCTCTGCTGGTCAAGAAGAATCCTTGAGGTTTTTGTTTGTTTGTGGGGGGGCAGTTACAAGCTTTAATTCATGTAAGTTCCTTACTATTTTTCACCCTGCTTACTTACCAAGGTTCACAGGAATCAAATGGTAATGTACCTTTATTAATCAAAGGCTTCAACAGTCTTACATGCCTTTAATCATATTTATTAATAATAAAGCAAAATTGAATTTAAAGTATTTCCTTACTATGCTTAGTACTATTTTGGCTGAGAGAGAAAGGGGTTGGCAAAGGAATATGAACCGGGAGATAAAGCAAACAGCAGCTTAGAAATCCTAAAGTGGATCACAGTTAACGGAAATGTGATACTCACACAACTTTTTCTAACCTTATGTAAGTAGAAGGAAGTACAGCAGTCATTGAAAAGCATGAAGGGTCCCGTCAGCATAAATTATGATACTTTGTCAGGGACACAGAAGGTACTTAAAGGTTAGCTTGGGGAACAGCAGAAGCTCCTTGAAAACAGAATTTCTATGGAACTCGAATCAGACGTTTTATTTTATAGAACAGTTGATCTGTGCACCTTAAGTCAATGACAGTGGTTTATTTCTTCTCTGTATCAGTCTGGTCCCACCCCATACCCTTGGTGGAGGGAAAATAAGTAAGAGTGAGAAGATGTTTAGGTTCCAATCCTGGAGAGTACTCAGACAGTAATCAAACAGAACAACAGACCTTGTATATGACTTCCTAATGGTGATTTTTGGGGAATTCTGTCACATGGGAAGTGTGAGGTGCAGTAGTGAGTGCCAGTAACTGTACTTCCACAGGATGGCAGTGTGGTAACGTTTTCATGATGTAATAAGTGATTTACAACATTATTGGTGTTGTCCACTTTCTTAGAGCTCACTACTTTGGTGGAAAGCTTTCTTCTGGTTTAAAAGGTAGGAAAAGTCAGTTAACATGGATGGGTAGAAGGTTGTAAGAGATGTGGGAGTAGTTTGGTCAAGTTTCATCGAGCGTTCGTAGGAAGAATTGGTGGAGAATGAGTGATGTGTGTTCGTGTTGTTGAGGTCTCCTGGGAACGTGAGGGACTGTGCAGGTGGTGCTGACCGCCCCCTCGGTGCTCCCGTCAGCAAGAGGAGCTCTCTCCCTCTGACTTCCCACGGAGCAGGGCTTTTCCACCAGTGTCGCAGGCAGTTGCTTCCTTGTATGGTGGTTATGTGTGTACATCTCTGGTTTTCTCAGTTAAGTATCCAACTCTTAGAGGATAGGACTGATCTTAATAAGATTTTATATTTTTAGCATGTCTTGACCATAATAGACCTAAAACTTAATATTTGAATGAATTAATTAAAAGAGATGCTATGGTACAGAGACTGGAGAAAAACATGTTTCCACTTTGCAGTGGAGATTGTGTTTATTTTTAAGAACTGAGAGTTACTTCCCTATTTCTTAATGCTCAAGCGTATCTACCTCTTTTCTGTGTTTTAAAGCATGGGTTTGTAAATGGGACTTAAGTTGAGGTATGGAGATGTGTATCTAATGTTACAGGCTCAGGGAGAAGGGCAGTATTAAGCAAGATGGATCTGTGATATTTTACGTTTTGTATTACTCGGCAGGCGATCCTGAATTTAATAGTGTTAAAAAACAAAATTCAGCGGTGTAAACTTTTAAATGTCTAATTGGCTTTATTAACGATTCATGAATTGGGTGGCATCACATCTAGCAAGTAGAAAGGAGCTCCAGAGGGCTGGAGAAGGGGAGAGGTTTTTAAAGGCAAGACAAGGAATTCTTAAATAGAATTTCAGACTTAGGTTACCTACCTGTTGGGGGTGGAGAGGATCTTTGTGGCAGATTACCGTGTCTTTCTTGGGGTGGGGATAGAAAGAATTAGCTCTTTGGTGCTGGCCAAAAAATTCCACACAGATGGGTTAGGATTACATTCCGGGGTGGGCGGGGGGTTAGCTGCGGTTCGGGTTAGGCATTAAGTCCTGACTTTAGCACAAGTGACTCTGTTTTGAGCCTGTCATTTCTTTGTACGTGTGGAAAGGTTCATCTGTGTGTAGAGAGTACCGTGAGAGAAGAGCTACTATCCCCCGTGTAAACATCTCAGTATCAGCGATCAAAACAGGGGAGGCGCGAATCTAGTCCTCTTAAGAGAAAAGAGTTATCTTTGGATTATTGCGTATGTCACATTTATCAACTTTCATGTCATTGGTCCATATTAGTAGGTATAAATGAGGTTTATTTGGATAGAGGAATATTCTTAGGTAAAATATTGTTGAGAACTTGTCAGTTTGTTCAGCTATGTTTGACAGTAACCTGTATTTACAAAGTAATGTTTACAAATCAAAGTCCCACCTGACCTTTTTTGTGTCTCCTGAGATTGAGTTTCTTTTTCTTGAACTCATTTCCATCGCTCTTTATATTAACTTGAACTCTTGCACACCTACTTATGTATAAAGTGTTTTCTTCTTTACTAATGACCATAAATGTCTCAGCAAAATTGCATAAAACTGCTGAAATGAGAATATTCTTCTTCAAGAATTCTCATTTTGAATATGCCTGGAAATGACCTTGAGCAAATTCCTGAGAGGGAAGCTTCATTGAGCTTCCGAGCAAGTGATGGAATATGATGTGGGTACCCACCATGTATGTGTGTTTGTCCACGCTGCCTCCACGTGATTATTTCTGGAAAATATGACTTAATGGGAAGTAAACGGGCTAGAGACTTTCACTCTTTCCTGGTTTTGTTTTTGTTTTTTTAAATAATGTATTATCTTTACAATTAAGAACAAACCATGGAGACAGATGCAGATTTGTTTGCCTCGCACTGGGATAGAGGGAATGGGGACAACTGCTTAATGAGTGAATGTTGGGTTTTCTTTGGGGGTGATGAAGATGTTTGAGGACTCCAGTCCTCAGTCCTTCAGAGAGGCAGTGGCTGCACAGCGCTGTGAATGTACCAACTGCCCTTAAATTGTTTAGTTTAAAATGATTATATGTGACTTTGACCTCAGTTTTTTAAAAGAGACTTCACTTAGTTGTTCAACGTGTGCCATTTTTCATCTCTAATCCAAATTCTGTGGCAGTGTTTCAGCAGTCAGTGCTCATTTGTGTTTATAGGAAGGAAATCCAGCCTCAGAGGTGACTGGAGTGTTTGGACGTAACTAGGCTTAACTATAATTAAAATACGTACATGACATGAGTCTTTCTCAGGCTTGGCCGTTCTAATTGTGCCTTTGTGTGTTCAGTATTTGTCTGGGGTTTAATTTATCGGCTCTAGGTGTCTAAAAGGCCTGTTGATTGTGGAATCTTAGCTTGTTGTCATTGGAGGGGGCTCTACAAATCTCGTACAAATCCCTCATTCTGTAGTGAGGAAACCAACTTTGTTGTTAAGTAGTGGTTCGAGATCATGTAATGACCTTGTTACCATTTTTTCTCTAATTCTGCCCCTGCAAGTCTTTGAGCGCCTATACACGCTGGTTTGTAAAAAAAAATGTGTTGATGTTAGAAAACCCATCAAAGAAATCGGTTGACAGTTCAAATATATGTGACATAGAATTCTTACTTACATTTACTTAACTTTTTACTGCATTTGTATTCAGGTATCTCATTGAGGGTAATTCTATACCAACATTAATATGCCTGGAAAGTCCGTCATTGGATGGGTTACTTCTCCAGCCTTCTCTCAGCAACCAGGTCTCTGTTAGCTTGAGGTCATCAGAAACTTTACTCACATATGTTGGTCCTTCCTGTTAAATTTACTTGAGCTTCTTACTGTTCTCTAATACTGAGGTCATCTCTCATCAGACAGCCTGGAAGGCAACTTAACAGTTGAATCATTAGCCCATAATTTACCTTCTGTAGATGGGCTTCTTTTTAAAGCAAATAGGCACTCTTCCTCAGCAGAGCGGGGTGAAGCTGCACTGTGTGTCCCACACGGGTGCCTTGCTGTGACAGTGTTCATGCAGTCTTTTTCCTCATAGAGCATTTCACGTGTCAACAGCTAAGTAATGACTGTGCTTCACAAAGTCATGTGAATAAGCTTTATAAATGGGATGGTTTTCACATTAACTTATTTCAGATGAGATTTAACTTCATTTCAAAATGATTTTTGTTTACAGTGATTCCACGTAGTTTCTCCGTAATCAACTTGTCTGTTAGTGATCTGTGAACACCTAAATGCAAAAACAAACCTGTTATACAAATTGTAACCCCTCCCCAATTTGCCTGTACATTTAGGTTGATGTGAGTCAAGAATACTGTAGTATATTCAATGCCAAGAGCAAGCGAATTTTCTTTATTAGACCCCAGTAAATTCAGCGACTAGCCTGTTCCATGGCTTGACTTCTGTATACTTAGTTCTTTTGTTCTTTAATCACAGAAAACTTAGTGGACGGACATAAGGTTTTTTTTCCTAACTGATTAAGCACTGGACAGAAAGTGTTAGGAGACTGAAAGGGGTGTGATGACTTGAGAGCTTTTGAGACGATAGCAGCCATTACATGTGATGATAAGTATTCATTGGGTCATGCAGGCTTTGGATTAATGCCAGTAGGAATGGTGTTTACTTATTGGATTTATATATTTATTACATGGCTTCCTGGGTCACGTCAATAGTTATGAATGACAGACTGAAAAAAAAACCTGATTGCGTTTTGGGGAGAGGAAAACAACACCCGTCTCCTAAGCTGCTCTTGATATTTAAAAAAAAAAAAAAGTAGTGAAAGTGGTAGAAAGAATTTCATGGCTTATAATGTATGATTAACCATCAAATATGTTTCAAATAGAATAGATTCTATTCTTAAAATAAGTTTAGCTAAAACATTGCTAAAAGCACATGCTGTGTGTGTATTTATGTTTGAAGTACTTAATGGTGGTAGTAAATTTCCCTTGTTTCCTATTTTGTCTCTGTAGCATATAGCACTTTCTATATTGTGGGCTTAATATTATCCATGCAGATACCCTTTGTGGGATTCCAGCCGATCAGAACAAGTGAACACATGGCAGCTGCAGGTATGAAACATACTTATTTTCTTGCTTCTAAAGAATGTATGGATGTATGACTGGCCAGCCTTCAAGTAAATGAAGGGTTCTTTGGGGGTTTCGTTGTTGTTAATTTTCACACTGGTTCTAAACATCACCGCTATAAAATATGACTGTCATATGGAGTTTATTGAGACTTTCTGATACTGTGTTCCTAAAAGTGCCTGTCTTCCGAGCCACTGCTGTTGTGGAAAGGCAAAACACCCCTTTTTGCAAACACTAAAAAACATTTGCTTTGTATAACCAAATATTAAATAGTGTATCTGTACACTGAGTTCTCATGTCACCAGATTTAGATGGAGCATTTCATTTTTATGTTCCTTACATCTCACTAAAATATTGTGTCTGTAGCTACTAACTGGAATTAATGGCTTTTATATCGATTATAAAGTCATGTAATTCCTCTCCCTAAAGCAGAGAACTTTGATATTATTAATCTGGGTCACAAATAACAAGATATAAAAGGGAGATATGCAAATAAAACTTTATCAGAGATTCTCCACACAAGGCCCATGACATATAGGAAATCCATGGGTGGTTATTTTGTTGGTAACGTTTTATAAAAATCGGTATATTTAACTTTGATATTCTGTAGCCTTTATCACCACATTCTCAGTGAAAATCTTGAACCATCACCCTCCCCCCAAAAAGTTAAGAACCTACACCATATAGCAATTTAAAATCTGTGAAATACTTTTACATACATATTTAATTTAATTTTTATAAAATTAGCAAGTAGTAATCTGAGAGAGAAATGTATACTCAGTTTTTAGTATATAATTGTGTATAACAGTGTCTTTGTAGATTTACAGTCACCGGACTCTTTATGCATATGTGTTATTACATTTCCCAAATTCTAAATCTTTGATAATACTTATTTAATAAACCACTCTAAAATGAACTTTTAAAAATAACCCTTACTACTACGTTTTCTTAAAGAAAAAGCAGTATTCTAAGTGAATTAGCTGTCCCACAGCTGAAAACAATAACCGTGTATCAGGAGTCTTCTGATCCAGGTCATTTGTGTTCTTAAGTAAATCTGAGGATTATTTTTTAATGTTATTTCTTTATTTTCTTATTTTCCTAGAAAACATATTACTAAAATATGGGACAAAGGGTGGAATTTAATGTACTAAATAGGCTCCAGTTATTGAAATGAGATGTTTCTTCCCCAGTCCATATACGGGGAGTCTGGTTATTTTGGGAAAAAAATGCGTAACAGGATTTTTTAGATGTGTTAACTGGTTACCTGTCATCTGTCGAAGGAAATGTCAGGTCAGATGACAAGTCTCTGAGCGAGCGTCACAGGGTCTTCTAAGACGGCCTTCCAGATTAGCGTTTCACAGCGTCCTTGAAAAAGCGCCTTGTTGATTACTTACGCGAACCTTCTCTGTAACCAGGTGTCTTTGCGCTGCTGCAAGCCTATGCCTTCTTGCAGTATCTGAGAGACCGATTAACAAAGCAGGAGTTCCAGACCCTGTTCTTCCTGGGAGTCTCGCTAGCTGCCGGCGCTGTGTTCCTCAGTGTCATCTATTTGACTTACACAGGTAGGTGTTACTGCCTGTAGGGTGTGCGCCTTGTCGCTAGGTCTTGCAGAAGCTAACTCCTTTACACGTTTTGTACCTGTGCCGCGTATCCTGGTAGGTCAGATACTGCGGTTGTATTCTTTACAAGCTGTAAAAATAATAGTCAATGGTTCTAAAATCTGAATGGCACTACAAATTTTGGGGGGGTTTTGACAGTAAATTCTTTTTAAAGGTATTCCGTCTGTCAGATTAATGTACCAGCCTTGCTCATAAAATCATGAATTACTTGACAGAAGTAAAAGACATTTAAAATCATCTTTGTGATTTATCTAAATTTGGCTTACTGAACACCTCTCCCTTTTTAAAATTCTCTAATGCTATCTTAATGTCTTAGCTTTAGTTGACTAGTGAAATAAAAGTTTAAGAGACAGTTCGAAAACTCTCTACAGTTTTATTTATCAACTTGTTACATTTCTCTGGAAGTGTAATGTCCATGGATTTTTTTTATTTGAGCTCTAACCTTATTTTATCTGACTGCCAGCTGTGTGAAATATGTTGTTACCTGTAACAGAAAACTGAAATTCTTTTGGTATTGGCTTAAAGTTATCCATAATAAACAGTAAACATAAAGCCAATAAAATAAACACAAACAATGAAAAGGCATTAATTTCCTCTACATTTTTCCTTCCAAGGTTACATTGCGCCATGGAGTGGAAGGTTTTACTCCTTGTGGGACACTGGGTAAGCGCCGATCAGTTATTTGACTTCGTGTTACATAAAATACTCTTTTTTCCCCTGTTCTTTATTGTCAGTATCTCTCTGAATACTTGTGCAACACTTCTAAAGTATCTAGCTACATACTAGTTTAGTAAATGTATTTTGTCTGTTATTGTACCTGTTTGGAATATACCTTTAGTGTGATATGTTAAGTTACATATTTCTGTTCTGCATGGGCAGATAAAAAAATTTTGTTTGCTAAAACATTTCAGGCAATGTTTGTCCCACTTTAATGATTGATTTTTGTTTTTACCAGTGTATTCAGAGTTTCCATCTCTCAGTAATACTTAATTTTTAATCGTTAAGGGTAGATGCTGTGTTATAAACCTATCTGCCATAGATATGAAGAAAAATTTAACTTTGTTTCTAATACCATGTTATCTAAATTTCTTGATCTTTTTAATCTATAAAATAGACTAGAGAATATTGGTTGGGCTTCTAAGAGTGCTATTATAAAATGAATGAATAAAAAAATTTTAGTAAAAATAATCAGATAGCTAGTTCAGTAAGACTTCTTATCTCTAAAAATGTTTTCCTGGGGATAAGAAGAGGTTCACTGATAATTTACCCCTCTGCTCTGCCCTTGCTATTCTGTCTTCTTTGTTTCTCCCCATGGGGCTCAATAGAAAACCTGCCACGACTTACTGAACAGGACTGCCTTTTAATGTGATACCAAACAGACTGCTGCCCAGGTCTACTAGGGGCATGAGCAGATATGTGTGAATGACTGACGCTGACATTTACATACATAATTCAAGAGAGCAGCCTGCAGATCACCGGAGAGTTTAAGGGAAACGCTGGGTGTAGACAATTACTCTGATTAGGTTAATATCCTGGGTTAAATGTTTTGTCGCTCTTACCTACTCTTGCTTTCAAACTTTGACCACTTTGGAATCTCAGGGCATTTCCGGAAAAATTTGTCCTGTCCTTTCCACTTCCCTCACCAGCCTGTATGCCATCTCCTTGTTAAGAAAGGTGCTGTGGCAATATATCTTTTCGGATAAGATATTTCTGCTGCTAATAAGTCCAAAAGGTAATGGAACTCATTTATGCAATCTTAGGAGGAGCTAAGTTAAACTGCAAAACAGATTCCTATTTGAGCAAAGATTTTTGTGTTAGAAGTCAGAGTCAACACTTCTATAACTGGCCTTAGATAGTTCTCCCAATTTTAGGAACGGCCTGTTGGTTTAGTTTGATCAACATGTACCAGATTTATTTCCAATACAGCAGGTTACACTGGAATTTACTTTTAAGCAAGAAGGGGGTAGGGAATAGGAACCATATCTGCAGTCAAAGAAAATGTATTCATCTGAAAGGAGTTCCTGTTTTATCATTTAATTTTAAATAATGTTAACTTTTTAATACCAGGTATGCAAAAATACACATTCCCATCATTGCATCAGTGTCTGAGCATCAGCCTACGACTTGGGTGTCTTTCTTCTTTGATCTACATATTCTCGTGTGTACCTTCCCAGCAGGCCTGTGGTTCTGCATTAAAAACATCAACGATGAAAGAGTATTTGGTAAGAGATTGTTAGTAAATACTTCGATTTATTTATTTTTGTTAATGAGATTATTGCTTCACGTTAAAGTTTTGTTTTGTATACATCTTCAAGATAAACTTCCCATCCTTAATTTCCATAAGTGCTTAAGCACAAAAATTTCAGTGAATTTTGTATTAAATATACTCTAATTAAACTTTTAATTTTGGGCTAGGATATAAATTTCTCATTCAGTTTATTATGTTTTCTGAGAGGTTAATATAATCATAGTCTGTGACTGAGAAAGGAAATTGTGACTGTTGACCTTGTAGACTTGGCTTCGTTTTCTTGGTCAGATCTGATTAAGTGGGAAGAAATGTGCAGGGACGTCCATCCACATTTCAGTGCAAAGTACATTTTGTAATAGAGTGAGAATCGCCTTTAAGTAAACACTCTCTTTACTGGCAGATTTGTGTAATTTCCAGCTAACAAGATTTAGAAATACAAACTATGTTAAAGCCAGTGTTTAGAATCTGACACTCAAAATATAAATGGACAAAATAAGCAGATAGCAAAGATTTTTACATACATTAGTCATCACAGGAAGTGGGCCGTGGCTATTTTGCATGTGATAAAACCTGAAACTGAAAAAGTCTCTGTAGTATCCACGGGTCACACAAGCAAATAATTCTTATGTGTATGGGGCCTGGACCATGAGCGATGCTCAGAAGTTACTGTTCCAGAGTGAAGTCAGGAGAGAAGAGAGCAGTGTCTATGTAAGTTGTAACCAAAGGATGGCACTTGCTCATTCTTCCCTAGTCTGTGTAGGTCAGCAGACTCTGGACAAGGCCCTGGTTACTGTAGTATCATTAGCGTAAACACACTGCCCACTCATGACTTGGCGTTCCCAGTCCTAGGTCACACCCCCGAGAAGTGAACGTGTGGGTCCAGCAGCAGATGTGTTTAAGAATGTACAGAGCAACTTTATCCATAATAGACCCTAATTAGAAACAGTCCAGAGGTTATCAGCAGTCGAATAAAGAGATTTTTACGTATTTGTGCAGGAGAACACAACAGTTCGTAAAAGCATGGGTAAATAAACGAAGCCAGTACAGAAGAGAACCTTCTTACTTCATTTCTGTGAAGTTCAAGAAGGAAGACAAAATTCATACTTTAAAAGTCCAAATAGTGATACTTTTTTAAAAGGTGGGAGAGCAGGTACTTGACTGGGAAGAGGCACGAGGGACCCTTCTGAGAAGGTGTACGAATGTTGTGTGTTCCGTACAGGTGGTTATTACATAGGTGTGCGCATATATACAAATTCATCGGGATAAACAACATGGTATAATAGGTAAACGACATGGTATAATGAATGTATTTTTTAGTCAGGTAAAAAATATTAATTATTCAAATGAGATCCGTGCTCAGATGACCCATTGACTTTGTGAAGTCATGTAGCCTTTAGCCAGAAATGTCAGAGCCGTTCCCCTGTGGTGAACACATTGTCTGGATAGCTTTGACTATTGGAAATTACTTCCAAAAAAATTTTTTCAGTCTCTTGGCAATTACTTGTCCAAGTTCCTTCTTTGGTTAATAAATTGTATTCTTCTCATCCCATTCTTACTTCAAAGCAGGCTTTATGCCAGATATTGGCACAAGCTTTTCATAGACTTTGTTTCTATAAACTTACTGTGTCTAATAATGTATCACCAAATATGTTTTCAATTCTGTCGATTATGGCTTTTTTTAATACGTGATGCTATTGACAAATAATGAATTGTCTCGTTCCCCGTAATAATGACAATTAAATTTGAATCGTACGTTTCTCTAAACGGTTGTTATGCAGTGTTTGGTCAACATTACAGGTTCTAAATATGATTTTTAAATTGGCTGGTATTATCAACTTAAAAACAGTTGGCTCTTTGATGAGACGTTTGCTGTTTCTAGGCTTCTCTGTGCCAGTGGTTGTAGTGTTGGGTTGGGTGTCCTGTGGCCTCTTCTTCCGGAGTGCTGAGAGCCTTGTCTTTGCAGTCGCTCTGTACGCCATCAGTGCCGTCTACTTCGCCGGCGTGATGGTGCGGCTGATGCTGACCCTGACCCCGGTCGTCTGCATGCTGTCTGCAATCGCCTTCTCCAACGTTTTTGAGCACTATTTGGGGGATGACATGAAAAGGGAAAACCCACCTGTGGAGGACAGCAGTGATGAGGATGACAAGAGAAACCCAGGAAATTTGTATGATAAGGTGGGAAATATAAAGTAAGGCCTTTGAAATCTTAAATATGTGCTTTATTTTGCAGTCACAGGAAGAACTCTGCATACTAAACAATGCGATTAAAAAAGAATTTAGACAAACTGTGACATTTCTAGTTGGTCTGTACTGTGTGCCTCGAATTTTGAATCCTTGTTGGTCTTTTAGCTCAGAATAACAAAGCAGAATGTAATCAGAGAATGTAATCACCTTTTCGGTCAGGTTTTATGTAAAACACATCTCTGAGAGCAGAAAGCTGCTGCTCTACTGAGTTCCATCAAAGCACTACGTACCCTTCTGAGACCACGAACACAGTGCTTGTCCTTGAGGTCCATAGTCAGTGTAAACGTTTAAAATATTTGGTTGATTGAACAGTGAAATGAAGGGAATAAAATGCCTTAAAAAAAAGCCTCTAGTTCGTTAGCAGTAGGTGGCCAGCCAGTGTAATGTGATTCACGTAACTTCTCAGGTAACAGCAGGCTTGTATGCGGTGCAGGTGTGGAAGAGACTGGTAAGAATTAGAGCACTCGTCTTGGATGCTGTGGTGAACTGTACTATATTTACTAGGGTTTTAAATACCAGAAAGCAATGAAACTTATCAATATGCGTATTGACTTTGAGATTCTTTCCTCACTGTTAATAGATCCAATATAATTCATACAGATTAGCGTATATACCTGCTTTTGTGTTTATGGTTATTATTGGTTTGTTTGTTTTGTGTGTGGTTTCTTAATGACTCGGTTCTGTCCTGGGTTTTGGTGAGATTTTTTTTTTTTTGGGTTGTTTTCAGAAATGTAGTTTTAATTTTAACAAGTATTGGTGTGGGGTTTAGAAATTGGAAAACTGATTCTGATAATGCAGTGTTTTTCTTTTCTAAAGTCTTACTTGGTCTGGAATATAGCTAGACATTGCTGTTTTCAGGATGTGGAATTCAGATTTTATAAGAAAAGTTTGACAGGATGAGAGCGTTTGGTTGTCCCCTTTGTATTTACGTGAAACAAAAGAACAGTTGGGTTTGAAGGCAGCTTCCTCCTGGCGACATTTTGCTCCGCAGTCAGCGCTGGGATTGAGTATAGTTCCAGGAAGCCTCCTCGTTCACATTTGACTTTAGAATCTACCTTGATAACTTTATTTTTTTTAAGTATTTTTCTCAGGGGGAGGCAATTAGATTTATTTATTTTTTAACGGAGGTGCTGGGGATGGAACCCCAGGACCTTGTGCATGCTAGGCACGTGCTCTACCACTGAGCTATACCCTCCCCCCTTACCTTGATAACTTTAGACAACAACGTATCACCCACGCAGGAATTCCTGATGGTTACACATTTTCCTTCTGAAGGACTTAAATTGACAGATAACATTCTCCCAACTTCTCCCCTTTGAGTGTTGTACTGAAAGCACATCAAATGAGGGGTGTGTCTAGTTGGTGTTTCGTATCTTCAGGCAGGTAAAGTGAGGAAGCACGTAACCGAGCAGGAGAAGACTGAAGAGGGCTTGGGCCCCAACATAAAGAGCATCGTCACCATGCTGATGCTCATGCTGCTGATGATGTTCGCGGTCCACTGCACCTGGGTCACCAGCAACGCCTACTCCAGCCCGAGCGTCGTCCTGGCCTCTTACAACCATGACGGGTGAGAAAACAGACTGCCTACGAAAGGATTCACACCTGCCCTTCTTTCTGGACTCTGCAGATAGGGCTGAGAGATGTTGGAGAGGCTCAGCATTTGACTCTACTGTGCTTTTCTTGTGACCCTCCCCCGCCGTCCCCTTGGTGGAGGTCGGCAGCAATCACTGCAGTTCATGCTCTCTTCCAGAATATCTGTGCATGCACACTGTACACATTAGTGTTTCTCGTCCTTGGACACCAGCACCACCATTACCCGGAAACCTGTTAGGAATGCCAATTCTTGATCCCACGTAAGCACACTGAGTGAGAGACCCGGGGGAGACCCGCAGCCTGCAGTTCAGCGCACCCTCCTCAGTGGTTCTGACGCAGCTACAGTTAAAGAGCAGCTGGCTTGCACACCGCCTCCCCACGTTCCCACGCAGCTCTGCTCCACTTGGGTGATGGTTAGACTCCACTCCAGAACTAGAAAATCAGGATTTGCTCTTTTACAAGATAGCCTGGTGATTTGTATGCATATTAAAGTTTAAGAAGCACTAGTCTAGCTCCTTCCTCTTTTTGTTTTGTTTTCCCCCTTCCGTGGAGGCTTTTAACTGCCATCCTTAAAATGTGAGATTTTCCAGTGGCTTGGCACTTTAGGATTTTAAGTTACCGTCTTCGCATTTGTGAGGTCTGGTTTAAAAGAAAGTTGTGATTCTTTCCAGCACCAGGAACATCTTAGATGATTTTAGAGAAGCGTACTTTTGGCTAAGGCAGAACACAGATGAACACGCCCGTGTGATGTCTTGGTGGGACTACGGCTACCAGATAGCGGGGATGGCGAATAGGACCACGCTGGTGGACAACAACACCTGGAACAACAGCCACATAGCACTGGTAAGGGCCGCCCTGCGCGGCTGTCCGCTCCGCGGCGTCAGGGAAGCAGGGAAATGCAGGGGAAAGTGCTCCCTGCTTGCTGAATCCTCAAGGTGCTTCTTTATACATTTATTCAGTACAGTGGCTTCTAGGTATGCTTATTTATTTTGTTTTTAAGAAAAAATTAAAGTATCATTCAGAATCACAGGCTGATTTGTGGCAGCTCTCGTGATCTATTTAGCTCACTGGAGAATTAGGCAAAGTCTGAAGCTTAAAGTATTGTAGTTGACTTGTATTTTCCATTTCATACATTAAGAAAATTACTTGCAGATATGTAAAGCAAATGCACTGTGTTATATGGGCATGCAAATTATGTTCGCTCTAGCTATTAAATAACTAATTCACGGTAATTAAGATAATCACCTCTCTGTTCTTTCAAGATTTTAAGTAGATAACAGTTGGGGGTTAGCCAGACGAGCTCTGTTTGTGTGGGTGTCGTAGCTGAAGAGGATAATGTATTTGCGCTGGCTGGCTGGACGGTCATCCCGCCCTGAGGTTTTGAGAAAGTCTCCATTGAAGCTTGTCTGCTTTCATATAAAAATGTTAATTTCATGAAACCTAATTAGTAGCAAAATATTAGAACATGTATTCTGATTTTGACGTTTCTGCTGTAATTGGTTACAGTAAGTGAGGTACTTACGAATCTCAGTAGTTGTCGACGTCAAAGCAAATCACTTCTGCAAGAACTGCATGTAAATCAAACTCTTGCGATTCATTCCCTCTTCAGGTGAAAGTGCGCGTTTTCTTCTATTTTCAGTATATTGTGGAACCAAGTAACACTCATTCTCGTTATTTTATTCTGTAGGTGGGAAAAGCTATGTCTTCCAATGAATCGGCAGCCTATAAAATCATGAGGAGCCTGGATGTAGATTATGTGTTGGTCATTTTTGGAGGGGTTATTGGCTATTCTGGTGACGACATCAACAAGTTCCTCTGGATGGTCAGGATAGCTGAAGGGGAGCACCCAAAGGACATTCGGGTAAGACTCCAGGTCACTCCAGGCGTGTCCCAGTCGCTAATTGCATCCCACTGTGTCCATCGTCCTGTCCCCCAAATTGGCCCCTCGCTCTGACTTCACTAGTTATGACAGATGCTGTAACCATTTTCCCTGCCTTCACACTTTTTACCCTCATGCCTGCTGCTTCCATCCTCCCCTGCACAGCAGTCCCTTGTCAGGACTCTTGCTTTTCTTCCTTCACAGCCTCTCTCTTCTGTCCTTTGTTTCCATTGTCATTGCTTCCACTCTGGCACTGACCCTTGTGCTCAGACCTGACATAGGACAGTAGCCGTGAAATTACTATCTTTGCCTAGTCTTGTCTCTCCCAGTCTGACATGATGCTGATCATGTTACTTACAGCTTTTTTTAAAAGCCTTCATGGGTTTAAGGAAAAGGGCCTTGAAACCAGACAGACATGAGTTAGAAATAAACCCCTGCCACTGCCAGCTCGGTGCTGTGAGCAGGTTATTTCCAGCCGGCTAGCGAGCTCGAGGTCCTGTTCTAGGTTCTAGTGTTGTAGGGAGCAGCGACGAAGGCCCTTTCAGTTCATCACTAGTGGGGACGCCAGGAATAATTCATTTGTGGTGCTGTTGTCAGAATTTATAGCAGCCACACGAAGCCCCTGCCCAGTGGCTGGTGTGAAGCAATCTCTGTGATGAGGCAGTGCTGTCCGGTCCAGGCTCTCCAGCTCGGAGTGCAGCTGGTGACACTTCACTGTCCTTGCTGGCCTCTTGTCCCTCTGTCACCTTTCCTGCTCCGTCAGTCCCCTCTGGCCCGTGAAACTTGTGTTGGGGTTTCTTTCCTTGAATCACACGACACGTGTGTTTATGCTCTCCTCTTCTTGGGCTACCTTCCCTGCCTCAGATCTGCCCTCTCCAGAGCCCTGCTCTGTGCCCCTGGGTCTCTCCTTCCAGCCTGTTTTGTGGGTAAACGCTGTCCTTTCTCCCCCACCCAGCTGTGGGCGCACAGAGGACAGGCGCCCCGCACTGCGGTGGACGCGGAAGGCCCGGGGTGAGAGGAGGGTTCAGGGCAGGTCCGCAGTGAAACGCCATCTGGGAGGGTGTAAGGGTGTGTTTTCTGTGATGGGGAAGGTGCCAGATTTCCTGTTTAAATGTAAAGGCTGTGGCTTTTTCCTTAATTCTGATTAATCAACATTATTTCCTTGTATTAAGTGGATCTTAATTTAATCTCCCTAGGATGTAATTTTCATTTGTGGATTTGCTTTAGCTTTATTAAAATTATAACATGATAGATCCAGATACATCCTTTGAACATTTATATAGAGAAAAATCCTCAATTTCTATGCTTTGTGAATAGGTAATTTACACAGTCACAGTGTTGAAAACTAAAAGCATAAAGGGATATGCAGTGAGAGTTTATTCCCCTCCATAAAAAAGAAAAAAGCCGTAGGAATCATGTAGAATTTTCTCATGGTTCTTAGTGAAGCAGGTAACTCGTAGCAGAATGTACACCCTGTTCTTGCTTTTCTCGCTTCACGATACACTGTGGGGATCTTCCCACGTTACAGATGGGGCCCTCCTTCATTCCTGTCTTACACCTGCAGTGTGTCCATGGTGTGTGTGCTCCATGACTTCCTTAGCTTGTCCCTATTAATGGACATTGAAGTTGTTTCGGCTTTTTTAATCTCAAACAGCGTGTCACAGTTAAATTTCTACACGTGTCACTTGGCACGCCTGTACATGTCTCTGTCGGATAGATTCCTAGACAGGGAGTTTATCTGCAGTGTCAGGTTGGCCCTTTTAGAGGTTATTTGATTAATGACCACAGGCGACCCCTGAACATTCCCCTCCCAACTAAAGAACTGATTTAAAGTTCATGTGGGAAGAATAAAAGAATAAATTTAGGAAAACTCTGAAAAGGAGTAATGGTGGGGGGAGGGGGGAACAGTTGGAGAGAGCCAGCTTACCTGGTATTAAATCATGGAGTTGGTATCGTATTTTAAAAATGATTGAGGTTTTATTGTAACATGGTTTAAAATCTGGTAGGATTAGTGGCCCTTCCTCACTCCGACAGACTATTCTTTATGTTTTCTTGGACACTTCTGTTGATTTTGTATAAACGATTTCTAGACTGAGCTTTAAAAAACACCCTTAACAGTTTTGTGGGGTTTTTAGATCACATTGAATTTATAAATTCACCCCCTAATACTATATTTTTTAGAGATGTAACTAAATACGGCTTTATGAAGATACCTCGAAAGCTGGTTCTTGTGGGGAAATGAAAAGGGGAGCCCATAGTTTTGAATGTGTTTTATTAAACTGACATACAAACTTCTGGATTCTTTCCTGCAGGAAAGTGACTATTTCACCCCACAAGGAGAATTCCGTGTAGACAAAGCAGGATCTCCCACTTTGTTGAATTGCCTTATGTATAAAATGTCATACTACAGGTTTGGAGAAATGCAGGTTCGTTACATCAATTTTCCTATAATCTTTATTCAAAGGAATGTTTTTTAAGTAGTCTCGTTTGACTCCGAAAAACAGGATGATGATGTTTTCATTGCGCTGTTAAGAAAAGTGTGCTCATCTAAAGATTTTTTTCTACATTAAATTTAATTTCTGAAGCTTATATGTGAAGAATGAGGAAATATTTTTTAGATCAAAGATTTCTTTCCAAAATGTTAATTAACGTAAGCTCAGCTCCAGCCTTTGCTTGCCTGACTTCATGCTTGTGGAGACGCTGTTCACGGGGGAGAGGTCTTCAGCTAGAAAACCGTGTGATTTTAAGTAGCTGCTTCACTGCCCGACAGGGGAAAGGCTGAAATTGCAAGAGCTGAGTTATTTAATCACTTTAGATACTCACCCCACCCTGTTCTCCATTACCACACACAGCTAGGACTCTGGGTCGGAGTTCTCTAGAAAATTAGAATGATGTACAAAAGACGAAGAGTGGACGGAATGAGTGAATGTGCCAAGCGCAACTGTGGCAAAAGGGGCAGACGCGGGCTGCGGCAGCCCCGGGCGCTAGGTCTGGCCCTGCCGGGCCCCGGAGCCCTGGGACAAGGCGCATCCTCTCCGGAGTTGCCCCGTCTTGTCTGCGCACAGGGCGGCTGGGCTGAGGCTGCGGAGTTTCTTCATGGCTCTCGGGTTGACGACTGCAAGCCCGGGTCACACCTTCATACCCGGGTTTCACGGAAAACTGCCCGGTTCCCTGCTGCTTTCTGATTGATGCCAGAAGGCAGAGGGAAAACTGCTTGTTTAGTTCTATACAGATACCAGGGATTGAGCTAATGTTTCAGCATTATTCACTTGAAGTTACTCAGCAGGTGGCTTTTAAAGTATAGACTGATTTTACTGCCGGATTTCGGTTTTCGTTTGTGTTTTGATTTCTCATGAAGGTCCCCACTTGGTCCCTAAACTCATGCTGAGAAAGAAGCACTTAAGCCTTAACAATCAGCTACCTCAGAAAACAGGGCAAAGGCTAGTTTCTCTGTTCACTAATGATAACACCGGAGGACATTTCTTCCCCGTCCTTTTAAGTTCACCAAGAGCTCTGAGCCACGCGTGTGGCGTGTGGGTCTTTCCTGCTCCGGAGCGGTGTGTAAGACGTGAAGTGTGACTGGTGCCTCGTGCAGACAGTGCACTAACGAGGTGTTCCCTCCTTGCAGCAGGTTTGGCTTTGGTTCTGTTTTTAGGCTGAATTCTCTTACATTCTGGGTGTCGACGCACACCGAGTCTGAGAATTTCTTAAAATCTGCACTGCCCCCCCCCCAATCTTTTCTCCTTTCCCTCCTGCTCCCTCTGCCCGTGGTTTGGCTTTTACGCGGCCTTTCGGGTCCCACTCTCGGGGGTTAATGACTCTGCTGAGAGGAATGACATAAAGCCACCGTGTGGCTTACGTCCTGGTGGAGGGAGGGTACAGCGGATTTGAAAATAAATAAAACCTTGAGCAACAAACACTAGAGTGAAAGAATAAGGAATCAATGAAGGAGACTTGCCGACCATCAATCTTAAGAGACCGTTTCCCTGAAGGGATGGTATTTGGGCTGAGACCCAGAGGACAAGGAGGCAGCCGTGCAGAAGAGCAGAGTGGAGAACTCGGAGGCTAGACAGACTAGATGGTGCAGAAAAGAGGGCCCTCTGTGTGTTCTCTCTGAAGGGCTGTAAGAAGGGCCTTAATGGATTTCGTGTTGCTGTTTTGGTTTGTTTTAACGCCTGCAGGCTGCTCATCCACTCTGAGGGTCCATGAGACCCAGGTCTGATGTGGTTAGCTTCTCTGCCTGATTGCCTCCTATCTAGTTAGCAGTGTGTGAGAGCTGTTACAATGCATTGCTCTGATTTGTTTTCCTAGTTTAAAGGGAGAAAGTTTTACTCTGGTGGTAACATTCACTACCTTGCAGTACTAAACGTGTCCCGGTGTGGTTAATGTCCAGCACTCATGTCACTTTTGCAGCTGGATTTCCGTACACCCCCAGGTTTTGATCGGACACGTAATGCTGAGATTGGAAACAAGGACATTAAATTCAAGCATTTGGAGGAGGCCTTTACATCGGAACACTGGCTTGTAAGGATATATAAAGTGAAAGCCCCTGACAACAGGGAGACGCTAGACCACAAACCTCGAGTGACCAACATTTTCCCAAAACAGAAGTATTTGTCAAAGAAGGTGAGTGCCAGATGAAGTCGTGTCGGTAAAAGGATAACTGACGATTGGTTGGTTTGTGTGAAAATTACTGAAAATTCAAAAAAATGTTCATTTGCCAGATGTGTAAAGACTAGGGGTCATATGCAACGTGAGCATCAGACTAGCCCGCAGGGCGTCCCTTCCACACCGAGCGCGGCAGGCGCCCGGGCAGCGCGAGTTTCTGGATGGTGGTTGGGAGGGAAGTGTGGCTGTCAGTGAACCAGGCTGAGACCTTCCGGGGGCATTCTGCCTCTGGTCTGTGCCACCCCCATTAGTAAGGCTTGTTTGTGAACTGAGATGTCCGTGGCCATCAGCTTCTGAACATTTGTGAGGGTAAAGATGCCAAACGCTGACGTAATAACAGTGTGATTCCATCATCATCTCTCGGTCAAAGCAAGTTTATAGAGCATTTCCATCTTCCGTTCGTATGGAGATGTTACTGTATTATTCATTGAATAAAAATTAAGCTTGAGTTTTTTGAGTCCTGAATCCAAAAGAAAAATCATTTATCTTAGATAATTGTCTTTAAATGTTAAATTGTCGTGACACAGCTTGTAGGCAGGAGTTATGATGATGAGTCTGTTGCAGTCCTTTTGTAATAAATATTTAATAAGATATGAAATATTCTATTGGAGGTCACTATTGCTCACTTAAGCCAAGTAGATCTCATCTTTGCTATAAAAAGGACTGAAATTGAGTATTTATATGGTTTGCCTTTTGTGGGAAATGGGAAATAGCGGTCAGATGAAATATTAAGATATTTTTAGGTACCACCCTTATAATACTAATTTTCATTAGACCAGTCTTTTTTAAAAGTTTTTTTAAAGTTAATTTTTTATTTTTTAATTTTTTTTGAGCGGGTAGGTAATTAGGTTCATTTGTTTGCTTGTTTGTTTTTAGAGGAGATACTAGAGGTTGAAACCAGGACCTTGTGCGTGCTATGCACGCACTCTACCACTTGAACCATGTCCTCCCCAACACTGACTTTAGTCTTAAGTCTTGAAGGTGCTTAGGTTTACATTACTTGGCTGAGTTCAGTCATTGAAGGAATTGTCTTATTCCTTTGTATCGCTTAAAATATACTTCAAATATATTCAGAATTTATTTCAATTTGTACTCTAAAAGTGCTGAATAGTAACATATGATACGTAGGTAGAAACTTGAAATGAATACTTTCTGTGCCAGAAATAGATGACCGTATCTCTACTGCTGTATTTAAACATGCCCCATGGGGCTGACACTATCTTTGCTACGTCAGCTCGCTGACCAGTCTCCGTAAAACGGCAGATCACGTGACCTGGGTTCTCATGGGCGAGTGGTAGGGAGAACTGGTGTCATGTCAGTGCCGATGAGCAAATCAAGGCAGTCACTCCTAAAACCAGTTCAGATTTTCCTGTTTTTTGAAAAACAAGGCCATTGAACTTGCTAACTGATGATAGTGAGTTTTCTTAATCTGACTTCTTTTGCCTTCCCATCATCTGCCCCAAATGAATAAGTGAATGGATAAATAAAAATCAGTCTGTCTTAGGTGCCCCAACACAGATCCTAGCAGCCAGCCACGTGGATCTTGAATTTCTGGTTTCTGTGTTGAAAGCCTCCGTTCTGCGCTAGCAAGAATGCTTTTTATTTGGTTTGCTTTCTTACCCCCTGCCTGGATTTGACTGTTTGGGGTGGAGGGAGTGCGTGAGTACAGCTGTCGTCCCGGGAGCTTCCCCGCCCTGAGATGCCAGTGTGGCCGCGGCTCTGGGCCTGGTGGCCAGGGGTCGCTGCTCCCAGAGAGGAACGCCCGAGGGCCGCCTTGCGCCCTGGGCGCTTCACAGGGCCGCCCAGGACAGGTTTCAAGTGAGAAGTCTGTAGGTAATGATGATAAGCCAACCAACTCCTGACCTGGTTGGAATTTTTACAAATTGTGACCTCTGAAATTTTTTACTTTTTGCCCTCATAAAATAAGTTAATAATTAAAGCAACATATATTGTGGACAAGTTAGTGGTAGAGAATTTTTGTAACCTTAAGAAGGATTGCATTTTGCCTTGTATCTTTGTCCCTATTAGAAAAAAAGAAACCTCCTCGAGAGTTACATTTAAATGTGAGAATTGAATTGAGGGGTCAGCCTCGGGTCTCCCGCCTCTGCTAACCCAGTGCTCGAAGGTGCATTAGTTGATTTGTTTACCCCCAGTTTTGCTTTTTTCAGTATCTGCGAATATATCAGATTATTAGACACGTGTGCCTTTATGACTTACCTTGTAAGATTCTAAAGTAGCAAACATTTCTGCAGTAATCGCTGCTGACACAATGGTAGTACTTTGTTTCTTATATCACAAAACATCAGTAGACAGGGTTTTAGTGGGATCCTGAAACGTTAAGAAAAATGTCTTTTTAAAGATGTATGAAGCTCAAGGAATGTTTCAGGATTTTTCTTGGTGTTTGGTTTTTGCTCTGTATTTAATATTTAAGTGCTCGTTTTTCTGCTTGAATTGGAGAATGTGCCAAGTAATTTTCTCTCTTCATTTCTATAGATAGTTGTAATCATCCGCCGTTTGTACAGATGAGAAAATTGGGGCTCCATAAATTACTAAGTTACCTTGTATTTCTGACACAGCTAATTCTGGGGGGCTGACCTGGGAGCACCGTGATCATTTTCTGAACCATTAGTCTAGTTACATATTGCCGTGCTTGGGAATGGGAGTAATTGTTATAGTTAAGCATTTAGTGGTTGGGGGGAGATGGGGGCTCCTCCGCCTGGCGGTGAGGGGTATGTGACATGCACTGGGGGAGCGATCTGGTGCACCCTTCACCTGGAAGCTGAGGGCAGGCAGCGCGGAGCGGTCCGCGGCGGCACGGGCTGCCCGGGTCCAGCCGTAGGGGGAGCCTCAGGGGTTATGAAGACCGTCTTCACTGTGCAGTAAAACCATGTGTGTATCCATACTTTTAATCCTTAAGAAACCTGCACTAACACTGTGTTCTGTTTTCTTTCTAGACTGCGAAAAGGAAGCGTGGCTACATTAAAAATAAACTAGTTTTTAAGAAAGGCAAGAAAATATCTAAGAAGACTGTTTAAACACACTGTTCTGGTCCCGAACCTGAAGCAGTTGTCCTTGTGGGAGCCGGTCTTTGCCTTTAGCTCATGTCGTGTTTCACAGCAGCAGTGGTACAGAACCATCACTGGTCCAGGCTTATGTACAAAACTTTCTGGCAATGCCTGATTTAAAAAAATAAAATTGGCTTATTGAGAACAGCTGTTTTCGATTTGTAATGTGAAGCAAGACAGAGCACTGCTGTGAATGTCCAACAGCAGATTTTTTTTTTATTGGTACATATTATCCTTCAAATCTGAGAATTTGGACTAATTGCACCAAAGAACCCTCTAATTTGGTCCCTGGCACATGCACAATGTTTTCATTCTTTTACAAGGCCTGCATTTCATTTGAATTACCCAGGTAGCAATATGCAAAGTACAAATGGCAAGATGCGATGCAAGCTCCTTGAACTAGTAAACTAGAACAGGTCTGAGAAAGAGGTATTAGAAAAACAGTGACACTTCTTGAACTGTATTTATTTTCATGTTTCTCCAGCACGAAGACTGTTTCATCAAATGTACGTTTTCTGTTGCTCACTGTTTGCTCTGAGAGGAAGAAGCTGCTGTTGCAGAGATGGGCCTCTCACTGACTGATTCAGATAGGTTTGTTGTTGTTGTTTTATGTTGAAACATTATTGCTGCTGTTAGCATTGTTTGACCAGGTACTTACAGAGCGGATCTCATACGTTGTTCATTCAAGGGCTAAATTCATATCCTTTGGGAACCATGCGGCTGCACAGAACGTTGCTCACAGGTCGGGGCTGGCTGGCTTAGTGCGGAGGTCAGCACCGTGCTTACACGCAGGAGGAGGAAACCCTTAGAGCGGACAGGTGTCCGGAGTTCATTTTGTGTGACTCCTCCTGACGAAGGATTTGTAAACTTTGCCCGGATTTCTGCCATTTTTATAAGTTTTCATCCATGACAGCGATTTTGGCCTCTGTTCCACATTTTGTGAATCCCTTAAGCATTTGATGAAACACTCTTTAATGCTATATGCATTTTCTTACTTTTATTAAAAATGTGACAGTTGTCAAAAAAATGCACTAAAATGTAAATGGAGATTGAACATGTTCACTTTCCAGCTTATAGGCAACTTTATATAGACTTGAAAATTTTCTCCTGTTTAGTGAAAGAGAAAGGGGTTTTCCCGCCACAGGATATAACTTTTTTTTATATAAACAAGCATAACTTACACCACTGCTTTCGGTGGGAAAGTGCAGAATAGTATGTACCTTTTTTGAGGAAAAGTGTAATTTACAATATTCACTGAGAATGTTACTGCTGATTTTCTTTTCCAAAGTGTAGAATATTGATTTATAGAATTCATTTTTGACCCAGATGATGGTTCTTTTACAGACCAATAAAATGGTTAAACATTTTCACAAATAAGGTGTAACTGAATCTGAATTTCTGATACCTTGTCATTTGGGGGATTTTATTTTACTTTGTTGCTTTAAAATTCAATGCAGAGAAGTTGTTGACTGTAGGGGAAATAAAGTTAATTCAACTTTTGTGTTAATTGTTGTCTTTTACTAATCTTTTATTTTTGGGAGACGTTACAGAGCACTGAACACGCGCGTCTTCCCTGTTGGCTTTCACGGAGGTTTTACAGGCCAGCAGACACGGGCCGGGCCGGCTTGTCCTGCTCTTCTGTTCTCCCTTTCCATCCCCGAGTGAAAACCGCATTTTGACTTTTTATGGGTGAGTGAGGGGGAGACACGTAACAGAAGAGGAATTTCCTCTCCAGGGAGCTGGGGCTAGGCCGCTAACAGAAGCCCTGCCCGCAGAGTTCTGGCATTTAATCAGCCAGGGCTTGTGTCGTTTTCTCGCGGGGAGCAGGAATGACCTCTGACCTTTTTCAGGTTCAGGGAGCACCACCTCGGTTCAGGGGGTTGCTTCAGTAAAGACTTCAGTGTAACCGCACTTCTGGTTTTAGAAAAGTGAAGTTGTAGACAATAAAGCAGCTTTTGTTTTTGTTCCGCGTCTTAGGAGTGAACAAGGTGAGTGCTTTGTGGCATAAATAAGGCGGTGAGGCAGCGAGGCCAAAGGTAAGTTCGTTTTTCAGACGTGCGTTGTTACCGACTTGACTTGGCGCCTGTCGGCCTCTGCTTCATTCAGGCCCTAGGCCGCGGCCAGAGGCCTGGGCACCTAAAGGCGCCCTGCGCGGGGGTGGTTTCCGTGGCTGGCGGGGGCGGGGGTCATAGGACCAGGAGAGCGGGAGCTGCTGCCCCTTATTTCTAAATTGTGGTAAAATACATGACAAAATGTACCACCGTAACCGTTTTTGAAAGTACCGCTCAGTGGTGGTGCGCACTTTGACGTCGTCGTCTGCGGAGCGGCTGCTTGTCGCCGTGGGTCCCGTCGGGTCCCGTGGTCCTCGGCTCAGGTGGGCGGAGTCGCCTGTCCGAAGTGGCCGCGCCGAGCCTTGTGGCGGTGCCCGCGGCCCACGGCTGTGCAGCTCAGCAAGGTAGCACGAGGCAGGCGGCCCGTGTGGTGTGCGGCGCTGCCGGTGCTCCAGAAGCTTCCTCACGCCCCCACCCGGTCCCTGGCCTGGCCCACGTGCCCCTCCCCAAGCTGATCGGTCTCCTAGCTTTCACATAATTACTGTTTCTCTAAACATACCGTTTAATTGCAGCTATTATTTGAACAGTATAAATGGAATCAGTATATTTTTTTATCTAGAAGCTTTTGCTCCGTTTTTATGAGATTCAAAATGTTGTGTGCAGCTGTAAGTTTATTTTCATTGATGTGTAGTATTCCCCCGTGTGGGGGGATGGATATTACAAGGATGTTACAAATAAATAAGGTATAGGAATAGTCTTACAGCTCTCTTGGAGCCTGTAACATGTGCACATTTTTGTGGGTATTCCCTAATAAAGGAGAGTTACTGGGTTCTTGCTGCTCCCACATCCTAATTGGCCCTTTTTAATGCTTTTTACTTGTGCCTTCTGGTGGGAGTAATGGTTTCTCCTTGTGTTTACTTCGCCATTTCCAGGTTACTCCTGAGGCGGGTCATTTGGAAATCCCCTTTTTATACAGTTTCAGGTTTTGTGTTGATTTGTTGCTGTTGTATTAGAAGTTCTTCGTGCATCCTGTGTACAGTCTCTTTACCATTTGTGCTGCGAGCTGCCTAGGAATTCATTACTTAGTGCAGTTACTTTTCAGTCTCGTGTGTGCCTGCAGCTTTCTGTGCCCTGCTTAACCTGAGGTGGAAAGAGAGTCTCTTGCGTTCTTTTCCAGGAAATTTATTGTTTTATCTTTTATACTTAGCTTTGCAGTCCGCCTGGAATTCATTTGTTGAGTACAGTGTGACTTGCTGGTTTTTGTTTCTAGGTTGGTTAGATTTCTGGGTTGGTGTTTTTCATATGTGTATCTAATTGTGCACCATTTATTGAAAAGACCATGCCTCTCCTACGGCTCTGCGGGGCTCCTTTGGCAGTAAGTCCACATACGAATCTCCTGGACTGTACGCTGTATTCCACTGAGTTCTTACCTCTGTGTACTGACTGAGAGATGGTAATGTAAGTCCCCCATCCCCGCCTTCTTAAACACCACTGGCTGTTTCTGGCCCTTTGCTGCTTCATGTAAATTTTAGAACCAGGTCATTAAGTAACACCAAAAAGAAAAAGAAAAAGTTTGTTGGGCTTTTGATTGGGCACTGAAACTACAACTTAATTTAGGGAAAACAGTTGAGTCTTCTATGAATGTGGCATATCCTTGATTTATGTAGGTCTGGGTCATCTTTAATTTCTGTATTATACTTTTATTCTTAATTGAAGTACAGTCAGTGTACAGTGTGTCAGTTTCTGGTGTACAGCATCACATTTCAGTCATGCATATACATATATATGTTCATATTCTTTTTCATTATCAGTTACAGGATACTGAATATAGCTCCCTGTGCTATAAAGAAATCTGTTGTTTATTTTATATATACTAGTTAATATTTGCAAATCTTGAACTCCTCGTTTATCCCTTCCCACCCCCTTTCCCACCAGTAACCATATTATTTTCTATGTGAGTCTGTTTGTAGATGAGTTTTTTAGTGTCATCCTTTTTTTTTTTTAGATTCCACATATGAGTGATATCATATAGTATTTTTCTTTCTCTTTCTGGTTTACTTCACTTAGAATGACAAGGATTTCCAAGTCCATCCATGTTGCTGCAAGTGGCATTATTTTATTCTTTTTATCGCTGAGTAGTATTCCATTGTATAAATATACCACAGCT